GATCATTTCATTACATTGCATTAAAAAAAAAATCCATGTCGAATTAAGCACAAGGTATACCAATGATTTGAGGCACCCCTTGTAGCCACATCATATTACCTTTCACCTTTCAAATAAAGATCATTTCTTGATAAACCACTTTGAGCCTCGTCTAACAATAAACCTTTCCTTTTTCAACCCACATCTACCTAACCTTGGGATGGGATGGTGTGTAACTTATGCAATTTCAAAAGCTTGAGTGATTTCAAAAAGATTAAAATATCAAAAATAAAAATAAATAAAAGTGTACAAAAGGGCAAGTGTTCCAATGTCTTTTACATGAACGTGTCATTGATATGAACACGTCTCAGATTCAGTGCTCGGTACCGTGATTGAGAAACATGAATGTTAAGTGAGTGATAGACCGCATGATCGGGATTGCCCACACATATAAAAAATATAATAAATGCTAAAGCAAAAGAGAGATCTAAAAAAGAGTTAAAAGCCTCAAGCATAAAAATATAAAGATTCAATTGCAATATTGCACACCTTGGGGGCTTATCGAGGGTCTAGAGCCTTTATCCCCTTCTTCTTCAAACCTTTAGCCTAACCACGTTACAACCCTTAAAAAGACCTTTTTGAGGTATACACACACTTGTGCGAGGTTCAGCTAGAGCTACGTTCGGCCTGATTCTTAACAGATACGTAAGCAACCTCACATCGAGGTGCGGCCGTAATAAAAATGCATTCAAATTCACATTCACACATCATGTTCATATCAATGCTCATCCCTATCTACTTAGAGCTAGACTTAGGGGCTTGATCCCTGCATTGTTAGCCTACCTAGTCTAAGAGTCACCATCATTTGACTCTTCTTGAAATAATATTTTTCCATACACTTAGCCTTTGCGGCCTAACTTTAGTGTCATTATCACACACTGCACAGATACATGACCAAATATACTTCCCTTAGGAACCCTTTGTCATGAAATCTTAACACAACGTTGAAGCACGCCTTGTCATATCAACATCCCTCACCAATCATAATCATCATTGCATCACAAAGTATGAAGTGCTTAGCCTCCGTGCCTATGTTACCTAAATGCTTTCATCATTGAGTCAACAATTGAGATAGACTAGGATGGATTAATCCTTGCACCTTGAGAGATAGTATCAACAACATTTGACTAAGCTCATTCAACATGCACCTTCAAAAACTTTGATTCTTTTTTGCGTCTTTCTTTTTCGGGAGAAAGTCGGTACCCTCCACAAAAATGACGGAAATTTTTGCTTCTTTGCATTTTTGAGTCGCACGATCACATTACAACGCACACACGAGTCATGTACACATTGAGTCATGTCGTGTTATCACATTGATTTAACACTATGCACACACGAGTCACATGAGATGAGTCGTCTCACCTTGAGTCGTGTCAAGTCGATGAGTTAAGATACACTAAGTCTTAGGTCAACCCTAAAGAAAGATAAGCAAAGTCCTATAATAAATAATATATATACAGGTGCATCCCAGCAAGCAAGAACATTCCCGAATTTTTTCAAAAAACCGCAAATATGACGCAAGAGATTCTTCCAATATGAGAGGAGTTACATAGATCAGTAAATTAGAGATGAAGAGCTTTAATTTACAAAATTTTGAGCGGATTTGGTTGAAAGGAAACGACCAAGTTAAAAGTTCAAAGCGAAACCGAGCGACGAACAGCAACAGCGAGAGAAAATTGGGAAGATCCGACTCCAGAGCTAGACGACAAGGTTGTCGCTTGGCAAGAACATTTGTCGCTTGGCGACAAAAGAAAAGCGCGGCGCCAGATAGTTTTAGTGAGCACCAGTGTGGCGACACAATGTGTGGCCCCCATATTAGATTATGTGGACCTAGTGCAGCAATTTCCGGGTTCCTTGGTACGCAAGTTAGCCCCTATAAGCAATTTGACATGATTGAGTAGTCGGCTTGATTACAATCGCAATAAGTGATCGACCTGACAAAAGATTGTCTCATCACTTAGCTTAAAAGCGCCCAAACATTGGCTCATCGCAAAGGCACCAACACAATGGTTCATAAACAGCAAAGCACTGACATACTGGTTTACAAGCAGTAGAAGTGCCAACGTACCGGCTAGAGCAAAGTTCAAGTGAGCTTTAAAGATCGACAAGCGTTAGTCTTCGGTAATTTTCTTCGGAATATTATCGCAACAATTGAGGATGACCTCAAGTAAAGTTATTTTCGACAGCATTCGCTAAGATTATGGAGGTTATCACTTAGATTTGAGAAGATAGCACAAGATGGGCGGTCTTCGACAGCATTCGCTAATATTGTGGAGGTTTTCACTAAGATTTGAGAAGATAGAACGAGATGGGTGGTCTTTGACAGCATTTGCTAAGATTGTGGAGGTTGTCACTAAGATTTGAGAAAATCGCACGAGATGGGTTGTCTTCGACAACATTCACTAAGATTGTGGAGGTTGTCACCAAGATTTGAGAAGATAAAACGAGATGGGCGGTCTTTGATTGCATTTGCTAAGATTGTGGAGGTTGTCACCGAAATTTGAGAGAGCGGTTCGTGATGAGGCGGTCTTCGACAACTTTTGCTATGATTAGGAAGGTTGTCACTATGATTCAATCAAAAAGCTCTTTGTTAAGAGACGCGTGGGCATATAAAAAATCTCTATTGTTAAGAGACGAGTGAACATCAAAAAACCAAGATGGCGTTCCCTAGATTGTGGAAGGCTGTCACAGTAGCAGATGCAACACAAATCGGTTACTTCAGAGACGTGTGCTCGACAGTACAAGATACGCGTTTCTTAACTCTCTTGTCGGTTTTAAATAACGCTAGTTTGCAGGTATCGGCGTTACAAGAATGATTTAGGATCGCCAAACGTTCTGAATCATTCTCCGCCCCTATCGCTACTTTGACTTTTGTTTTCGAAACTTACGTTTCTCCAAACTCAGTCAAAGTGGGGGCTTTTGTAGACACCCATTTGTGTCTCCCTAAAACCAAACCTAGTTATGAGTACCTTTCACGTCGAATCATAGTCAAATGAAGTGAAAGTGTGGAAAGTCTAGTGTTACGGTTAGTTTTTAATTCGTTTCTCTTCTCTCTGTTTTTGAAAACCTTTTTGTGAAAATAGCCAATCCAGTTTATTTTGGTCCGTAGAAAGGGTCCAATAATATTTTAGTTAGATAGGGCTTGAAAAGATCTTTCTAACGATATATTATAAGCCCAATTCCGATGAATAATGAGGAAGTTATGGCCAAATTACTAAATTAGGCCCGACTTGATCTTTATATGCGGCCCAATGATCTAGAGGATGGCCTATTATGATTTATCATTCCTAATGAGATTAGGATTGATTATAGTTTTTTAGAATCTTCTAGAAGGTTCTTTTGAATCCTAATTTGATTAGCATTGATAAATTGACTTTTTAGAGTTTTAATTAGAATAAAATAAGTGTTTTTAAGGAAATTACAGTTTTACCCTCTCGTATGCTTAAATTTTATCAAAATAAGAAAACGTGTGGAAAACTATTTGCAGCGCCATAAAAAACGTTTGTCGCCTGGCGACAGACTTGGCGTCTGGCGACACGCGCAGCGTTTGGCGACATCCTTGTCGTCTCGCGACAGGCGCGTGTTTGGCGCTGCAGTCGTGTTTTATTCTTTTCAAAACTCTGATTCGTTTTCTATAATATCCGGCTAATTTTCTTTATAAATAGCCTCCTAAAATTCTGTTTTCGATCATCAACAACTACCAATTCTCATCAACTCTTATCAATCATCTCTCTCATCAAGAAAATCTTGATATACTCTCTCTCTTTTCTAAACTAGATTTTCTCAAACAAAATTCCGCATTCACAAGATCTAGACACACCTAGCCAAGTTTGAAGTTTCCTTCACCATAGACGTGAAAGGTTTAATTTCTGAGGGTTTGGTCCCAAATCTCTCTTTCAATTACTTAATTTAATTCTTTAATTTTATATTTTCCTTGAAGTTACTAACGTGTGTATTTTGTTATTAGAAAGAGGTACGAGGCATCCAAGTAAGAACTTTAATTGCTTTATTGATATTTTTATATAGAAATCATTCTTAGGTTTTGATTCCTAGTATCATGTTAGGATGTTTTATTGCTTCCTAGTATAATGTTTAGGGTATTTTCTAATATCAAGTATGATTAAAAGAATGCTTCCTATTGTCTTTCCTAGTAGCATGTTAGTGTCATGTTAGGGCTAAAGCTTTGATTTTTTTTATATGTATAGTGACATGCTAGGGTTTGTTATTAATCTTGTTAGTATCATGCCTAGGGTCTTGCTATTATTATGCTTTAACATGATTATTATTATAATTATGATTGTTATGATGATTATTATTATGTTGCTTGATTCTTGTTATTGTTATTGCTTGATCACACCTTTTATGCATGTTTAAAGGGAATTGGTCCTTGTAATCACACTTAATAAGATAATTAATAATCTTGTTTAGGGTAAATTTTGATTATAATTCAAGTGATCGCCAATAATAGTTTTATTTGTGCATTAATATTCAACCAACATAGATTAAACAGGTTTAGGGTAAACCTATTGATTGCATGTTTGTCAGAAAGCACACATGAATACGAGAAGAATAAAGTGGAGGTTTATTATTAGGGCAAGTTCACTCTCTTTTAGGTTGGATTTGTACCTTCATCCCCGAACTTCCAGTCATGGTTCCAGACATATTGGAGTTAACGATCTCCTGGATCGTTAAGGGGTGTAACCTTCACCCTGTGAAAAGTTTACAAGTTCCTAAAATTTGTTGGAGACTCTTTTGCTCTAGCTTCCTTCCCTTTGGACGCCAGGCCACCATGCTTAAGTGTATGATCATAGTGGGGTTCAAGTTTGGGGTAATGCTTGAAATATTCCCAACACCACATTTACACTAGGTCTCATTGGAGAAGAGTTGCACAAATGGATGAGACTCCTGAACAACTTGCTGCTAGGTTAAGAGCTCTTGAGCAAATGAACTAGAACCTTGGAATGTTGTTGCAAAACCAGCTGAATAACAACAACAACCACAAGAACAATGACAACGATCCTCAAGCTGCTATGGCTAAGAAACTTGCTGCATTGAAAGCTCCACAATTCATAAGGAAGGAAGATCCCATGTTAGTTGAGAACTGGGTACATGACTTTGACAAGATTTTTACTGCTGCTGGTACCCATGATGCTTAGAAAGTGGATCAAGAAACTTTCTATTCACGTCAGGCTACTAATATTTGGTGGAAAAATAGAGCCACTATAAGAGATCAACAGAATTTTAATTGGGAGGCTTTTAAGAAAGCAATCAAGGATCGTTTCTTTCCTGAAACATTAAGAGAAAGAAGTACAGTGAGTTAAGTAGGTTTAACCAAACAGCTAGTATGAGTGTGCAGGATTATGCTGAGAAATTTAATGAGTATGCTAGGTTTTGTCCTAATGTAGTGCCCGATGAGAGATCCAAGGCTCAGAAGTTTGAAGATGGATTGACTTTTAGGATCCAAAAGAAAGGTTATTGGGGCTGGTACTGCTGCTACCTATAAGGAGGCCTATAATAGAGCTTGCAATATCGAAAGGATTTTGAAGCGTGAGCAGGAGGTCAAGGATAGGCATAAGAGGAAAGGGAAGGGTGAGAGTTCATCGAACCATCAAAGTTATGACAAGAGACCACGCCTCGGGGGTAATAGCATTGGGAATGGTGGAAATGGTCAGCATGAAGGTCGTAACAGCAAAATCGAAGTAATAACTACCGGGGCCAGGGACAACATAATCACCAAGATCTCGCAATTGACCATGTCGTAAATGTAACAAGAGCCATCCAGGACGCAACTGCAATGGAGATTTGCTTACTTGCTTTGAATGTGGGGAGGTTGGTCACAAGAAATTTGAGTTCCCAAAGAAGCATATTGACAATAATCAGGCTCAGAATGGGCAAGGTAACAACAGTGGCAATAATGGAGGTGGTTATGTGAGGAACTCAAACTACAACAACCGCTTTAACAACAAATCTCAGGGCTAGAATGGCAATGCTCAAGGAGGAATGGCCAAAACAACAAACAACGGCGGAGGGAAGTAACAACAATGGTAATGGTAAGACCAGTAATGGAATAATCTATGTAATGAAACAAAGTGAGATTGACTCTAATGCCAACGTTGTGACGGGTACTTTTCTCGTGAACTCAAAACCTGCTTACTTTCTTTTTTGATTCTGGGGCATCTTATTCTTTTGAAGCCACTTCTTTTGTGAATTAACATGCTTTAAAACCTTCATCTTTGTGTCAAACCAAATATAACGATTCCTTTAGGGGAGGTAGTTCCTTGTAGATCCATATACCAAGACATTCCAGTTAACATTGATGGAACTGAGTTTCTTGCAAACTTTATTTAGTTTGACTTAACTGACTTTGATGTGATATTGGGAATGGATTGGCTTAGCAAGTATAAGGCTAGATTGAGTGTCAAACTCAAAAGGTTTCTCTTAGGGGCCAAGGGGAATAGAATCTCTTACCAAGGAGTTGTTTCAAAACTCGGGATCAATATTGTGTCAGCCATGACTTTTCATTCTTATATCCGAAAGAGCTACCCTATTTATTTATGTCATGTGCAAGATGTGAGTGTAGAAGAGAAGTCCATATATCATATTCCAGTGGTGAGAGAATTCCAAGATGTGTTCTAGATGAAATTCCAGGGATGCCGCCGATTAGGGAGATGAATTTCAAAATAAACTTAGTGCCTGGGACTGAAGCTATTTCTAAGGCATCATATAGAATGGCACCAGCAGAGATGAAAGAGTTAAAAGTACAGTTGGAGGAATTGCTGGAGAAGGGTTATATAAAGCCGAGTGTTTCACCTTGGGGAGCACCAGTTTTGTTTGTGAGGAAGAAGGACAAAACCTTAAGGTTGTGTATTGACTATTGAGATTAAATAATGTCACCATAAAGAACAAATATCCATAGCCTAGGATCGAGGACTTATTTGATTGGCTTAAAGGTGTTGGATCTTTTCAAAGATTGACTTGAGGATAGGACACCATTAGTTGAGGATTGCTGAGGAAGATATACCAAAAGACAGCCTTTCACACGAGGTACGGACATTATGAGTTCACTATTATGCCTTTTGGACTTACTAATGCATCGACATCTTTTATGGATCTTATGAATAGAACTTTTAAGCCATACTTGGATATGTTTGTGGTGGTGTTCATAGATGATATTTTGGTATACTCGAGGATAGAGAAGAGCACGAAGAACATCTAAGGAAAGTGTTGGAGATTCTTAGAGAAAAGAAGTTATATGCCAAATTTTCAAAATGTGAATTTTAGCTAGAGAAGGTAGCATTTATAGGCCATGTGATCTCAAAGGAAGGAGTTGTGGTGGACCCATCTAAGATTCGGGCAATTTTTGATTGGCCAAGACCCAAAAGTGTGACTGAAGTGAGAAGTTTTCGCAGGGCTTGCTGGATACTATAGGAGATTTGTACAAGACTTTTCGAGGATAGCTCAACCCTTAACATATTTGATGAAGAAAACTACTAAGTTTCAGTGGGATGAGAAGTGTAAACAATCTTTTCAAGAATTGAAGCGAAGACTCACCTCAGCACTATCTTAACCTTACCATCAGGGACCGAGGGGTTTAAAATCTATAGTGACGCATCTAAGAATGGCTTTGGGCGTTTATTTATGCAACATGGGAAGGTTGTAGCTTATGCATCAAGGGAGCTTAAGCAACATGGACAAAATTACCCTACTCATGATTTGGAGCTAGGAGCTGTAGTGTTTGCTCTCAAGATTTGGAGACACTACTTGTATGGTGTGAGATGTCAGGTGTATAATGACCATGAGAGTCTTAAATATATATTCACAATGACTCATTTAAACATGAAGCAAAGGAGATGGCTTGAGGTGCTAACCGACTATAACCCAGACATATTATATCACGAAGAAAAGGCGAACAAGGTAGCTGATGCTTTGTGTAGGAAGACAAGTCATACAGTGAACTTGATGGTTTTAGCTAAGGGACTTTGTGAAGAATTTAGGAAGTCGGACTTGGAGTTGTGGAGTATGTCTAGGTGAACGCTCAGTTGAATGCAATGTCATTCAAACCTTCCATATATGATGAGATTTGTGAGAAGAAAATGTCCGATGAGTGGTTGACCAAGGTGAGAAAGATGAAAGAAGGAGTAACAACTGAGTGTGATGGTTATAATAGCGGAGCTGTGAAATATAAAGGGAGATGGTGTAGTCCTAAAGATGAAGATCTTAAAAAGAAGATTTTAGTAGAAGCTCACAACACCCCGTACTCTGTACACTCAGAGGAGATAAAGTTCTACAAGGATCTTAAGCAACATTTTTGGTGGCCAAACATGAAGTGTGAAGTAGCCGAGTTTGTGGCAAAGTGCCTTATATGTCAGAAAGTGAAGATACAACATTGAGACCTGGAGGGAAGCTGCAATCGTTAGATATGCCAGGAAGGAAGTGAGAGTCTATCTCTATGGATTTGTGATGGGATTACCACTTACAAGGGCAGCAAAGAATGCTATTTGGGTCATAGTTGATCGTCTAACGAAGACAACAAGATTCATAGCAATAAAGGATACTTGGAATGTGAATCAGTTGGAAGATGCCTATGTGAAGGAAATTGTGAGGCTACATGGTGTTTCTAAAGATATTATTTCAGACAGAGATCCAAGATTTTTATCAAAGTTCTGGGAAATGTTTCAGCAAGCATTTGCCACTATTCTGAAGTTTAGCACAACGTTTCACCCTACAACAGATGGACAGACAGAAAGAACAATTAAGACCTTGGAGGACATGTTAAGAGCTTATGTGATGGACTTTGGTGGATCATGGGACAAAAAATTACCTATGATCGAATTTTCATACAATAATATCCATCATGTGAGCATAGGAATGGCACCTTATGAAGCATTTTATGGGAGAAAATGTAGGAGTCCCTTGTGTTGGAGTGATATCAGTGAGTCTTTGATTTTAGGGATACAAATGATTGAAGAAAAAACGAAGCAAGTTAGGCTTATCCAGGAAAACATTAAGGCAACTCAGGATCAACAAAAGTCATATGTAGACCAGAATAGGAGAATAGTGGAATTTGAAGTCGGAGAAAAGGCTTTACTTAAGCTTTCACCTACCAAGGGAGTCATGCGGTTTGTAGGAAAGGGATGTTGAGTCCTAGATACATTGCGTCATATGACGTATTGAAGAGAGTTGGAGAGGTGGCATACCAACTAGCCTTACCCATGGAGTTAGCCAATATTCACAACGTTTTTAATGTTTCCCAACTCTGAAAGTATGTTCATGACCCTAACCGTGTTATCCATCCTGAGACTATTAAGCTAGATGAGACCTTAATTTTCGAAGAGCGCCCAGTGAAAATTCTCGACACCAAAACGAGAAATACTCGAAATAAGGCAGTAAAGTTAGTTAAAGTGCTATGGTATAATCAGAATTCTGAAGAAGCAACTTGGGAAGCTGAACATGATATGAAAAAGCGCTACCCAGAACTTTTTGAGCAAGTACGTTGAGTTTCGAGGTTGAAACTTTTAAAGGGGGGTAGAATGTAATATTAACTTAGCCTTTGTCATTGCATAAGCCTTATATGAGAGATAAATTTAAAGTTCGAGGACGAACTTTCATTTTAAGGGGGAGTAGATGTAATACCCCAAAATTTTCTAGCTAGTATAAACTTTTTCAACTTAAATTATATATGTTATATTAATATATTTTATAATTATTATTTTTTTCGGATATTTAAAAAAAAAAAAGGAAACTGATTTCAACGTGAGATTTCTATCTCAATATTTGATTTGAAAAACTAATTTTGTCTAACAATTTAAATTTTGATCTTATCATAATTAGTTACATTTATCTATCTTATACCACATTTTCACCCTATATATTTTGCGTTGACCGTGTGATAGGAAGAGCACTGAAAACAACTACGCTGCTTCTTTTTCCACCCTTCATCTCCATTAATTGGTAAGCCAAATTGATAGGTAAAAGAGATCATAATCTCTTCTTTATTTTGACGACTTTAACTAGTCAGTTAAGTTTCAATCTTACGACTAGTAATCTTTAATACCTTTCATTACTAAAACCGTAACTCCATTGACGAACCCGACATTTTGTCACTCAAATTGAATCTGTTGCTTGTCTCCATAGTTATATCTCAATATTATACCACCATAACTTCAACTCATACCGTCAATTATCATCATCATCATTGTTGCGTTAGCACATCATCACTCTTGAAATTATGCCAAAAAAAAATCACAAACTGTAATGCCCTTATCTGATTTCTTTAAAAAAAAAAAAGAAAAAAGAAGATTAAATAAAAGGAGGTGGAAACAAGTTAGTGTCTTTGTGATTTAAGGGTAGGGTGGTGGAATTTCATACCCTGTATCGAAATATGGAAGCATTTGATGATAAGTTGACTTTGTATTGAAATATGTTTACGAATGTTCTTTTGGTTTTGTTTTCTTTCAGTAGAAAATTTCTTTCATATATCTGTATGTTGGGAATTTAGAGGCGTATAGTATTACTAACATAGTTTATCATCAGTTTATTTGTAGATGGAGGCTACTAGGTGAACGTTTCGGAGGTTAATTACCTTGAGTTTTTACGCACGATCAAGGTAATTTTCAATGTCCATCATCATTAGAATCCCGTTAGGAAATTGTTTTGAAATATTGTGTGTCAACTACGTGCTTACGTAATTATATGTGACGAGTATGCTATCGTATAATATTATGGAATCATATTATATACTAGTTTTCTACTTTGTGTACTAGTATATGTATTTTCGAAAAATTTGATTATTTGATATCGTATGAGTTTTTTTTTTTTAAAAAAAATAAATAAGATCTTAAGAATTGGATGATTGATTATATGTGATTGATGGTCTATACGTCATGTAGGATGACTATGGTCTAATAATACTGAAATTGAAGTATTGTTACTTGGAATTGAATTGATTTGTGCAATACTTGTGTACAGTGTAATCGGAT